AGGACTAGAAGGCAGAAGGGGACAGGAAAGCTGGTGATAGGGAACCCAAGGTTGAGTAAGGACAGTGTTGACATGTAGTGGGGTTGTTAACCATTGTCGTAGGGCAACATGTATACTAACTGTTTAATCAGAAACTATTTTGTTCTGTAAACCTTCATCTAAAGTGAGAATAGCAGCACAACTGGAAGAACGTAATCGATGTCACTGAATTGTGCATGTAGAAGTTTCTGAAATGGTGTATCTTTGGCTATGTATATTTTCACCAAAAAAAAAGGTCGAGAAGGGAGAGTGTTGACGTATCGTGGGGTTGTTATCCAATGTCATAAAACAATACGTGTACTGACTGTTTAATGAGAAACTATTTGTTCCGTAAACCTTCACCTAAAGTACAATAAAAAAAAAAAGATGTACCATTAAGTGTCAAAAACGGTACCAAACTGGATACACAGTATGGATTGGTACCATATGTAACAAGCCCAAATCTATGCAAAGAAAAAAGATCAGAAGGAAATGTATTCACACTAATGACGTTTTGGTAGTAGGATCACAGGTGATTTTTGTCTTTTGCCTACTTTTCTGTACTGAAATTTTCTTTAATGAATATATATTACTTTTATAACAGAATTTTTAAAAGCCTTCTGCATTTATTATTACGATTTTATCTGTACCTGTGAGGTAGATAAACTGCACTTAGCTTTGTGTATTTTCTTGATTTGGGATTGCTCTATTTTTTCTTTTTGTTGCCAAGCAACTGCCTTCTGAAAAAGTCAAAGTCTATCTTAGTTCAGCATGCCCCAAGCCTGGGTGAGGGACAGCAGTGGAGGAGGGAAGGCACACAGGTGCTGGGACAGGGAGTAAGGGAGAAGGACACTATGATCCCCCAGAGCAGAAACAGTTGCACCAGGCAGAAACTTTCTGCAACATCTGAGCTTCCCTTACTCCAAGCTGTCCTTCTAGGGAATGGCCTCTCTCAGCCAAGAGAACTGCTACCTGATCCTAAGAGTCCTCGAGGGTAGAAGGCAGAGATGGCACGCTGCCTCAAGACCCCTGGAACACAAAGCTCTCTGTCTTCACTCTCACCTCACACTCCTGCAATACTCTCTGACTCAGGGTGAGCTCACTATCACAGAAAAACAGAGCAGCCCTATCACTGGGGAAACCAAAGCCCAGCAAAGGAAAGAAACAAGTTGGGGACCAGAACTCAGAACCTCAGACTCCTACCCAAGATCTACCCATCATCCCACTGGTCAAGGCAGTCAACATTTGCTGAATGTTGCAGAATGACCAGCAACCTACCTCACTGAGGGCTAGTTATCCAAAAGGTTCTGATTTGTTTATCAAAAATGCAAAGGCAATGGTAACAGATAAGCCAGAATCAGAGGGCAGGGCCCAGAGCTGTGGGAGTCTACTGATCGTGCAACTCTCAAACACTGCAATCTAAGAAAGTTAGCACTGGGGAACAACTCTGAGATCCACTTGTACAGAGCTCAAAAGGCTTAGATCCCTGTCCAGGGTCTTCTAGGCAGTTAGTGACACAGCTGGTACTAGAACCCAAAAGTCTTTTAATTTATCTCTCATGAGAGATACACTAGTATCAGCTAAGAATGGAAGCTGGGAATCTCCCAGGAAAAGAAAAAAAATCTGCCACTGAACTAGAGCCTGGCACTGGCCAAACACAACAGCAGGCACTCAGCAAATGCCTGCTTGCGTATTTGCTTGCTTATTGAATGACTAAATGAACAAGTAAAGGATGGAGTCAGACAGTGGTTAAAGAAAGCCTTTTCTGAAATGTGATCTGACTTACAATTTCTAGGCACATGAAATGAACAAAGAGAAGAGAGATCAAGGTCCTGGGTCCAGATCCAGCACTGAGCCTCTATACAATCATGTAACACGGGCACACGACCTCTCACTGTGACCCACAGCATTGGCAGTAAAAGAAGTAGGAATCCCCCAACTCAGGAGATGGGTTAGCACTCTGAGGAAGAGCTTTACCTCAATTTTTACCAGAGTTCTAGCCCTAGGACCCTGGAAGAAAGGGTACAGGATCAAAGGGGACTTGGATAAGGCAATGATAGTAGGAGGGAAGTCCAGGAAAATGTCTGTTAGGCCCCTGGTTTCAAGAGTTCTCCCCATGAGGCAAATGTGGCAACAAGTAGGCAGGGTCAAATCCCAGAGGTTGTTTCAATGAAGTCATCAGCAAAGGCTGCCAAGTCAGGAAGGTCCCAGCAACCCTACAGTCACAGAAACCACATAGGAGGAGCACACAGGAGGCACTGACGTTGGGTTGGGTAAAGTACCAGGAGGCATATTTCAGTTTAACCTCAAGAGCCCGATCCCTCAGTGGAAAGCGCATTTCAGGGGTCCATGTGGTATGCTGGGATTAGATAGGCCTAACTTCAACCCTCTGTCACTTACTGCGGTAGTGAGTTTGAACAAATCACCCAAACTCTTACTTCGGAGTTCTGTCAATATATATTGGGCGCCTACTAAATGCCAGCCACTGAACTGAGTACTTGGGATATAATGCTGGAAAAACACAGACCTGGCCTTTGGCCTCTTGGAACCTACAGTTTAGGTAGGAAGACTGACATTAAAAAATATTTACATAAAATAAGAACTAATTATAACCATTAAATGTGCTATGAAAGAACATTGTATGATGAAAGGGGTTTCTTACTAAGCACAGGTCATCTGAGAAGGCTTCTCTGAGGGAGTGACATTAGAAGTTGAGACTTAAAGGATGGGTAGGAGTTAAAGTCAGATGAAGAAAGGCAGAGAGGAGAGGCCCTGAGGCAGGAAGGAGCTTGATGTACTTGAGAAACTGAAAGAGGCCTAATGTGGCTAGAGAGTTGTGAGAAAGAGGAAAGCACTAAAACCTTGGCCACATTAAGGACATGGGACTTGAAATGGGAAGTCATTTAAAGGCTTTAAGTAGAGAGTAATGTGATCAGACTCAAATTTTTTTAAAGAG